GTGTGTAGCACATATGCACACAGTGGGGAAACCTGCTGCGTATTATTGTTCCGTCTTTGCCTGCCACTCCTCCCAAAGATGCCAACGCTTTAAGGTGGAATTCAGAAGTTTATTGCAATGAGCTCGTCCTGGGTGACTAATGAATAGAGAGTGCCATTCTTCCTTTCCTCTCTTCCCCGCTGCTTTTCAAGACTGGCAGCCTGAATTTAAAATAGGCATAACCGACTCTCAGGCCTTTCAGGAAAGCAGAAACAACATTCACAAAGAAGAAGAAAAATTAAAAGTTAGGTGAGAAAACTATTCCTGTTTGCCGTGGAAAATTATTCTCAAAACGGACAGGGGTTATTTTTTTTTCCTATCAAGCCCTGTGGGTGAGGAAGAGGAAATTTGGCTTTCTAAAAAATAAAAAATAAAAAGATGCAAGATTTCAGAATGGAGGAGCTCCAGAAATGGCCAAACTACAATTCCCAGCAGCTCCGACTGCCGAGAGGGAGGCTGGGAATTGTACTTCAACGCCTTCGAGAGGGCACCTCTCTCGTGAATTTTTTTCAGACGGGGGAGGTTGGGAATTTTGCCAGCCAGGAAGGCTTTTAGAGTAAAGGTCTCCAACCTTGGCCACTTGGTGGACTTCCAACGCCCAGAATTCCTCAGCCAGGCATGCTGGGTGGGGCATTCTGGGAGTTGAAGTCCCACAGGTTTGAGGGTGGGGGGGAAACCATTGATTAGACTGAGAGACGGGGAAAAGTATTTAAAAAAATAAGACGAGTGGTTTGCCACAGAGCAGGTTAAAGAAATAGAGGGAGATGGGAGAAAAGAAATGCGAGGGAGATACGCCGAGCATGTAGCAGAAAAATAGAGGCCCTCTTTTTCAGGGAAGGAATGGCAAGTTAGATTTTGGGCGTGCAATTATTGGGAGAGAGACGGGGATATCGAACGAACCAGGCTGGCTTTCTCTTCTTGTGTAACAAAGGGATCCAACTAATCCACAAGGAAGGCTGATCAATGGCTCTTAGCTACCCTGCTAATTGTAAAGCCAGTTATTGGCATAAGGGATGGGAGGAGGAGAGCTACGCAAGGAAAGAGGGGAGAAAGTGGGTGAGACGGTGCCAGCCTTGCCAAGGAGGTTGGTAGGAAGACCACTAGATTTCCATTCGTCATTTCCCATTGAGCCTAAGATCAAGGCTGGAATGGACATTGTTCTCCTGATCCATCCATCCCTCCCTCCCTCCCTCCCTCCCTCCCTCCCTTCCTTCCTTCCTTCCTTCCTTCCTTCCTTCCTTCCTTCCTTCCTCCCCTTTCCATTCCATTCTCCTTCCTTATT